GGGGGGCCGGCGGGGCAACCGCGGCCACCTCGGCCCTGAACCGGGAGAAGCGGCTGGTGTGCGTCGAGTACCCCGGCGTGGTCCGGGACGTGGACAAGATGCTGCGGACGCTGGGGGGCGAAGAAGGGGTCTCTCGGGTGAGGAGCTCCCCTCAGGAGAGGCCGAGGCCCTCCCGGGGAAGCCTCTCCAGCCCGGGAGTGTGGGGCAGTGGTTAGTGAATGGCGATATCCCGCCTCTAGCCTCCACGGAGCCACGACCCGCAGCGGGAAACCGAGTAGGGGACTCCCTCACAGGGTTGTTGTGAGGGGAAGAACCGTGGAGGGGCTTCCTCGGCTGGAGTTCAGTGGGATGGCAAAGCATTTACAAGAGGATTCCCGCATCCGCTGGAGATCGGGGCCAAGCCCCACCCGCGGATGCTGGGGAACGCAGATGAACGTGAACGCTCTTTCCCGAGAGCTTTGGCACCCTCTAGTGGCCAGTTTCGGGAACGTCATTGTTAGGAATTAATATTTATGTGATTTTGCTTTTAATTTTAAAATTAATCAGACCGTGGATCCACGGATACTGATTCCCGTGGATAAGGGAGTCATGTTTTGTACTCTTCTGGGCGGGGGGTGGTGGAAATGGTTCATTTGAATTCGTAGCTGCTGCAGAAGGGAGGCGAGCACTGGTGTGGATCAGCAGATACTGATCCCACGGATAAGGGAGTCATGTTTTGTATTTTTCTAGGCAGAGGTGGAAATGGTTCATTTGAATTCGTAGGTGCTGCAGAAGGGAGGCGAGCACCGGTGTGACTGTTTACAGGGAAGAGAACTAATCTTTATTTCTCATGTGTTGACCGGCTTTCCGTTTTAGATCTACACGGACCCGAACAGAAGGCTCGAGGTCTACTTCCGCCCCAAAGACCCTTATTGTCACCCTCTGTGTGCCAACCGCTTCCCCACGTCTTCCATGCTGCTCAAGGTGAAGAAGAAAACCCGTCGGAAACAGACAGAGGCAGGCGGCTTTGAGGAAGAAGTGAAATTCGAAGTGGAGGTCCTCGGCATTGTGGCGACGGTTTATAAGTTTCAAGGTAGCAATTTCTCTTGATGAGCATCGGGTCAGGTCAGACACGAGGTGGGACATTAAAAGGGTTAACGTTCTCTTAGCACTTGTTTCAGAGGAACCGGGTCTTTCTTCATTCATTTTTGAGATTTAAAATAAAATCTCAAAAAATGAATACATTAATACAAATAGTTTCATTTATTTACCATTTGTTTAATTCATGTCTAACTGTCATTTAGGCACCCTCTCAGCTGTAGCCTGCCTCTTTGGGCACGTTTCTGATGGCATTCCCAATATTGGATGGGCGCATTCCTAATATAAAACTTGTTTGTAGCAAATTTGTAGTTAGTCAAGTTCAGCAGGGTCCCCATATCCGCGGGGGATCCGTTCCAAGCCCCCACGCAGATGCTGAAAAATGTGGATTATAACAAACCCAACAGCCTGGTCTCTGGTTCCCTCTAGTAGTCAGTTCCTAGAACTTCATCATTAGAAATATATATTGGGGACTTGTCTTTTACTATTTTTAATATTTTCAGACTGTGGATAAGTGAATTAGCAGGTACTGATCTCACAGATAAGGGGGTCTGCCGTATTTCTCGTTTATGTTGATCTGATATTGTAAAAAGTACTTGCCAGTTGTGTCGGTTCCACTTGCAGTGAGATGGTCTCTAGCAGCAGTTGAAATGAATTTCCAGTAAAATGTCTCTTCCCTTTTCTGCAGGGATGTCTGATTTCCAGTATTTGGCTGTTCATTCTGGCCCCGATGGGAAGCAGACCTCCATGTATGACAAAGTTCTTATGCTTAAGCCAGAAAAAGAGGAATTTTTCATGAACGATTTGCCACTTTATATCCCTCCACCTATCTTCTCACGCCTTGACACACCTGTGGATTATTACTATCGGCCAGAAACACAACACAGGTGAGAACCTTCTCTGTAGCCACATAGCTTTGTTAAGTATTTGGGATTGGCGGTTATATTTGGACTTTTTCTGTAGTATTTATGTGTAAAACTCCTTGTGTTTTTAGCATTTCTCAGAGTGGTATTTGTTTGCTCCTTTTTGATATTTGCAGACTTGTTGTCTGGCTTTTAATGGTGTAAACTGCCTCTTTATATTCATTGTTCGTAGCTTTAAATGACATGTACCACCATTGTATAGTCATTGTTTTTAGCTTTAAATATTGTATTTCGATGATGTAAGCTGCCTTAGGTCCTTTTTAAAGAAGAAACGTGGGGAAAATGTTTTTAATAACAATGCACTAGATATAGTCATTATAGAATAAGAAATGTGTGGCTCGTTGATATTGCAGTTCCAGGGGATGCCAGAGTGGAATATAAAGAACTGGGAAAACTAATAAAATACAGAGACCTGACTATTAAAACATCTCGCTTGTAGACAAAACACACTTCAACGCGCCCCATAGTCACTAGGCCTTTGGGAACAATATTAAAAAATTTCACACAATATTATAAGCAGTTGCAGATCTCAGGAATAACACCATCAGAGCTACGAAAAACCCAGCAATATTAGGAACAGCGTATATACTATGTCAGTATTTAACAGATACTTAGTTTTTGGTTAAAGCTTCTATCTGTCACATAATACCAGTCACTGTTTTTATAGTTTTGATTGACTGTGCCTGGTATTTTTTAATAATTGTAATAATAATAAACAACTGCTTTGCGGGTTCAAGATAGTTATCTTCTGGAACTGTCCCTGTTGGCTTTTGACAGGTGCAGCAGGCACTTGTAAAAAGTTACTTTTCAGACTTCTTAGTGGCAGTGCTCGCTCATTTAATCTTTGGCCTTTGAAAGGGGCAATAATGTCAGAGCGACTGACGTCAGTTTCTTGGGGAAATGAGACGCTGTTAGAGGAGCGTTAGGGTGAACAAACATGTGTTTTTGGAACCGAAAGCTCTTGCAGGCATCCAGGAGACATTGGCATATGTGAAGTTGCCGTTTGTGCTCAACTGACCTCCACTGGTGTTCGAATATACATGGGAGGGAAAAAAAACAAGGTACAGGGAGGGACCGATTGAGTGTTTTTAAAAATCCAGCTATTCCATTGTTGTTCACTGCAACAGCTTTGGTTGCACAGTCAAATCGCAAGGTTTAGATAACTAATCCGGCCTGGATTCCTTGCCAGCTGGCATCAGTCATAGAGGACCAGTTCTTTTAACCTTCACAGCGTTTTTTATTAATGGAAGCAGCACCTGGCTCAGTTCTCATGCTAACATATTTGAGTTTTCTCACTTGTTGTCCTTGATCCAGGTGTTTGAAAGTAAAATGACATATACCTGATTCTCTGTCACTGGAATCTGCCCATTAGACAGTATAGCAGGATTTTGTAGAAGACATAGTTAGTTTGGGAAAAAAAATTCAGTATTATATATTTCACAGGGGAAGTGATACAGATGTTGTTTTTTATGCCAGTAGAAAGTATTTTTCTTTATCTTGTGACGTGCAGTAGTTCACCTGCTCCATACATTTATAAATACTTTGGTTTATTTTTTAGTTAGACCACTTGAGAATGTAAATTAAATTCTGGGCAAGGCAGGTTTGGAGGGAGGCCAAATGGATCTCGGTTTTAGACAGGCTGAGAAAGACGCTTCCCCACCTGTTGAACTGTTTAGTTTGAGAGCAGGTTTGGGTACAGTGTGCAGATTGTCTGCTTGAGCCAGTGGAAGTTTTGTGTAGAAATAATTCTGTATACAGAAAATTCGTCTGAATTAGATCTTAATAACTAAATAAATGGTGAACCTGTAAAACATGCTGTCTAGCCATTCTGGTTTTTCTGTAGATGAGGACAACCTTATTTCCCCATCTCTAAATAAATGTATTTACATGTTTCAAGTGTCAATCTAAAAAAAAGAGGGGAAAGGAAATAAAAAGGACTATATACACCACAAGCCTTTTTCGATTTTTTAAGTGTACACTTGTAAATGAAACAGTTTGTGCTTCCTACGAGTAGAGCCAGCCTGGGTAGCCTTGGGCCAGCTGCACCGTCCCAAGGATGCCCCCTAGTGGAAGGGAACAGGGGAACCACTTCTGTGTATTCGTTACCTGGAAAACCCCAGAAAGGGTTGCCAGAAGTCAGAATTGACTTGCCAGCACGTAATGACGATGGTTAAATGAAAGCGTTAGTAACTGAATCTTAAGACAAAAACGAAGGGTTCAGTAGAATTACGTTTTGCCGTTTTCTGCCTTGCTCCCCAGGGAAGGGTATCATAACCCTCCTCTGTCTAGCGAAAACTTGATTGGACTGAGCAGAGCCCGGCGGCCCCACAACGCCATCTTTGTCAACTTTGAAGACGAAGAGATCCCCACGCGGCCCCTGGAGGCCGCCGAGCAGACCTGGATGAGAGTTTGCAGCAACCCGGTGGATCAGAAAGCGGAAGAAGAACTGAGAAAAGTAGGCACACTTTTCAGGGCCTGTTCAGACACTTTAAAAAATTTGGGGGAGGGGGGAGAGGAGGTGGCCTCTTGTGGCCGCCCAGTTCTTTGGGGTCTAAGACTGATGGTTACAGCCGGCCCCTGGAGGCCGCCGAGCAGACCTGGATGAGAGTTTGCAGCAACCCGGTGGATCAGAAAGCGGAAGAAGAACTGAGAAAAGTAGGCACACTTTTCAGGGCCTGTTCAGACACTTTAAAAAATTTGGGGGAGGGGGGAGAGGAGGTGGCCTCTTGTGGCCGCCGAGTTCTTTGGGGTCTAAGACTGATGGTTAAAGCCTACTGTGTTTCCCTGAAATTAAGTCAGGGTCTTATATTCATTTTTGCTCCAAAAAACGCACTAGGGCTTATTTTCAGGGGATGTTTTATTTTATTTTCATGTGCAACCATCTACATTGATTCAGATACAGTCCTGTCCTCTTCTTCTGGTTGCTGCACAGTGGTGGAGGCCGGGGTTTCACTCAACTGCGGCTTATTTTGTGGGTAGGGCTTATATTAAGAGCATCCTGAAAAATCATATTAGGGCTTATTTTGAGGTTAGGTCTTATTTTTGGGTAAGTAGGGTAGTTGGTGGCCCCAAACCCCGTGGTATTTCCCTAAGGGAAGGGGTCGGCAAAGTTGGGGGCTGTGCCGCAAGCTGAATATTCAGCCTCTGGAAAAAGTTGTTTAAAGATTGCTGGTTTCTGGCCCCAATACTTGAGAAGGTGGGCTGGCCATAGTGTCAGAAGTTGGGAAGGGCCCAGAGAAATAAGGCTTCTTGTCTAAAAGCCATGTTTGAGCCCCTCTTTCTCTTTTCCCCATTTCCATATGTGTCCGCACGGGTGATTTCCTTCAGCTGTTTGAGGTCCGTCCGGTCTGGTCGCGCAATGCCGTGAAAGCCAACATCAGCATACATCCGGACAAACTGAAGTTTCTTCTGCCCTACTTGGCTTATTACATGGTGAGTCAATTACGCCCGACATAGTTACACAGCTTTCTTTACCAATTGTAAATCATGTAGGGTAATACAGAGTGCCGCATCGAGATAGTATACTTCTTAAGCTATAAACCATCTATGTGGCAATGAAGCCCATTTGGGAAGTTTAGAAATGATAAATGCAACAATATTGCATTTTAGGAGACGCTGGGAAAATAAAAACACATTCCACAACACTTGTTACAAGGTTTCTCTGCCAGTGTTGAAACAGTCCCGTTCATTACATTCTCAAGGCCACGTATGACAAATGCAAGCGTTTTATCTTTCTCTCGGTCCTGCCACCTTTACAGGTGTGTTCTGGTCTGTAAGTTGATTCTCCGGCTGCGAGTTGAATCTAAAATTTGCAGCCAGAGGAGTCTGTAAGTCGAAAAGTTTGTAAGTCGAGCCGTCTGTAAGTCGAGGGTCCACTGTATGTGGCAATGAAGCCCATTTGGGGAGTTTAGAAATGATAAATGCAACAATATTGCATTTTAGGAGACGCTGGGAAAATAAAAACACATTCCACAACACTTGTTACAAGGTTTCTCTGCCAGTGTTGAAACAGTCCCGTTCATTACATTCTCAAGGCCACGTATGACAAATGCAAGCGTTTTATCTTTCTCTCGGTCCTGCCACCTTTTGGTGAGGACCCGGGAGAGGGCCTTCTCTGTGGCTGCTCCCATACTCTTGAACTTCCTCCCACTGGAAGGCCAGCCTGGCCCCCTCTTGGCTGTCCTTTCACCAGCAGGCCAAGACGTTTCTCTTCAGCCTGTTTTTTTCCTTAATGACTGAGTGAGGTTTTTAATTGGATGGTTGGGCCTTACTGCTTTCACTATGTTTTGGGTGTTGCTTATGGTGGGGTTTTTTTGGCCATTGTATTCATTGGTCCTTTAAGTATTCTTGCTAACTTAAATGCTGCCTTTTGATTGTTATAAGCGGCTGGCCTTCTCTGTGGCTGCTCCCATACTCTTGAACTCCCTCCCACTGGAAGGCCAGCCTGGCCCCCTCTTGGCTGTCCTTCGACCAGCAGGCCAAGACGTTTCTCTTCAGCCTGGTTTTTTCCTTAATGACTGAGTGAGGTTTTTAATTGAATGGTTGGGCCTTACTGCTTTCATTATGTTTTGGGTGTTGCTTATGGTGGTTTTTTTTTTTTTTTTGGCCATTGTATTCATTGGTCCTGTAAGTATTCTTGCTAACTTAAATGCTGCCTTTTAATTGTTGTAATCAGCCGCCTTTAAAAGGAGAAAGGTGGGTTAAAAATATTTTCAATAAAATCAAATCAATAACTGTTAATGTCATCTTCTAGCTTACCGGTCCTTGGAGAAGCCTGTGGGTTCGCTTTGGTTATGACCCGAGAAAATACCCAGAAGCGAAGATCTACCAAGTGTTGGATTTCAGAATTCGCTGTGGAATGAAATACGGTAAAAAAAGAGATGGAAACCAAGAGATAAGAGTTGCTGCTATGGTCTTCTTGACACCCACCTCCATCCCTTGCTACTTCCTTTATGATTGCCAGCTCTAGCCGCCCAGAAGACCAAGATGCATCTTTTTTTTTAGTTAGTTTGTTTGTTTGTAACACTTCTATCTCCCCCAGCTTTGTAGGGCCGTTGCTCCGGGTGGTCATTACCATGTCCGCCCCTCTCTCACCATTTCTCAAACATAATAAAAATAGTCTCCAGACCAATCAGGCAGACTCGAGTAAACAAAACTAAAGGAAGCAAACTGATGGTGAAAACCTTCAGGTTGTCCAGGATCCAAAGGGACAGGGATTCGTGGGTGGAATATTCTTTAGGGCTTCTCTGCCTTGTCTAGTTTTTAGCGGGCTTTGAACATTCTGGAGGGAGGGGGGCCTGCTGGATAATTCGCGAGAGGCCGTTCCAGAGTTCAGGGGCCACTACCGAGAAGGCCTGCTTTCTAGTTTAAGGCCTGCTTTGGCTCCCCCCGGCCTGGCCACCCCACGGCGGCGCTAAAAGTCAAGGAAGAGATCCGAGCGGTATGGGCCGCGTTTCTGCAGGAGAGACGCTCCCAAGAGGTAACGAGGCCCCGAACCATTAAGAGCTTGGTACGTTGAAAACGAATGCCTTGACCCCTGGCTCAGGGGCACAGCGGGCGGCTTTAGAGGCCATTCTTGGTGCTGTCGCTCTTCTGGATGTCTTAGTTCGATGGGTGGGAAATGTCGCACCTGCCCGCACGTTTATAAAGTGAATGGAAACTGTTTTTTTCTCGAAGGACAGTGGTGGCAGCCGTATGCTCTGGATTCCTTGTTTTACAGGCCCTGCGTAAGCAACCTAGAGATGGGTTCTGTGCCGAGAGGTCTTCTTCTCCCTTTTGCTTTTCTAGCTTCAGATGTTTTGTTCCAGGTCACGTATCCCTCCTTGACTTGCTTCTGGTCTCCTCCCTAGGTTATGCCCCGAGCGACATGCCGGTTAAGGCCAAGCGCAGCACTTACAACTACAGCCTGCCCATCACTCTGAAAAAACCAGGTGCGCTGTGCAGGCTGGCAGCAGACGTGCGTGCGTGTGCGTGTGTGAGTGTGTGTGTGTGTGTGTGTGTGGGGCATTGGGTCTCTCGCTGGGGAGGTGGAGGAAAGGAACCCTGTAGTACCGCATGTATGAACCCGCTCAAACGTGTGAGAGAGAGAGAGAGAGAGAGACACCGTTGGGTCTCTCGCTGGGGGAAGGGAACCCTGTAATGCCGCATGTACGAACCCGCGCAAATCTCTGGACTTGGGGTCATGCCCCTCTCTAGATGGTGCTCCGAAGCCCCTAGAGACCAGCAGATCCCCCCCCCCCGTTGTGATCTTTCCCTGCTCTCTTGGTATTGTCATGTAATTGGTGGGATTTTTTCCCCTGCACATTTCAGTAAACCATGCTGTCGGCCTTCAGGACTTGAAGCAAGGACTGAGCACATCAGGGTCACCCGGTGCCAGAAAGCTTAGTTTTAACAAGTACAAACTGAAAGTAAGTGTTTGATCGTCTGCGTCTTATCCTTTCCTTTCTGGTGTGCTTAGCGGTGGGCACTCAGGTCTTAAAACAACGTGGATTAAACTGTGCCTGCCTTTCCCCTCCTCCCTATTTCATTTCTGAAGAGCTCAGCCTGGCTGCTGAGACAGGATGAATTTCATTTAAATCAAACTGTTTCAGATTGTGGTTTAAATCACTGTTGAGATTCCGTTTAACCATGTGGTTCCCACCAGAAGTGCACTCTTTCCTTGCTATGACTGTAACAGATGGTTTTTCATAGTACATATTTTTTTCTAACCCTCTTTGTAAAGCTTGGTTTCACCACCAAGAATCCTCTGAGCATTGACACCTTCCAGCGTCTGTAAATGTGCTTTTCTGGGAACTGGAGGGAAAAAGAAAGTGGAGGTTGACTGGGAGATGCAAGGCATTTAAGACCGGAACAGGCAGCCCTTTTTCCTCTTATGAGCTGCATTTCTGTGGAGAGAATCAGATGTCCTGTGCAAATCAGAAACTGAAAACAGAGTCAGAAGGCATGGAGCCTCTTCATTTTCTTCCACATTCTGCCATGCTCTTCCTTGTTTCTTCCTTGCCACTCAGGAGACTCAGGCCTATAAGAGGAAAAGGGTTACCGGCTCTGGCCTGAAATGCCTTGCATCTCCCAGGCAATTTCCATGACCTTCTTCTGCCGCCTTTCAGGGGCTGGACTTAAGAAGAGGAAAACAGCTTAGGTCGATGGACGGTCCAGTTGGAGGCTCTGTGATCTGATCTTTCATGGAGGGAAATCCAGCGATGTAGAAATTACTTTCGTGCTACCAGTTTGACCTTCGTCTCAACCTTCTTCTCTTCCCTGCTTCTTCCTTCCGATCTTAGGATTCAATTTACATCTTCCGAGAGGGATCCCTGCCTCCTTACCGACAGATGTTCTACCAGCTGTGTGACTTGAACGTGGAATGGTATACCTCCGGTTCTCCGGGAGTTGTCGTAAATGGGGTTGGGCTGTGGGGTGTCTCTGGGAGGGCTTGTCTGAATCTTGGAAGTGTAGTTTCCTGGGAGTTAGGAGCTGAGGCCACTATGCTGTAGAATAGGACTGTCCTATCATCTGGGGATCGGTTCCAAGCCCACCTGCGGATGCCGAAAACCTGCGGAAATAGTGAACCTTAAACGTAGCATGGTCTCTGGTTCCCTCTAGCGACCAGTTCTGGTAAAAACACTGTAGAAATGAAGAATAAATATGTTATTTCTGGGGGTTTTTAATTTAATATTTCCAGGCAGTGGATAAGTGAATCTGTGGATACTGATCCCACGGATAGAAGCATCCCACTGTAATTGCATTGTGGTAATATTACCTGCATCTCTGCAGTACTGTGGCCAGATAGTTGAACAAAAGTTTGAGATCAGTGTTTACCACGTTTTCCTGGGGGAAGATCCTTCCTTCCTCTTGTGTGGGCCAGAAAGATCCTTGAGCCCGTCTTCTCCTCTGCAGTACTGTGGCCAGATAGTTGAACAAAAGTTTGAGATCAGTGTTTACCACGTTTTCCTGGGGGAAGAGCCTTCCTTCCTCTTGCATGGGCCAGAATGATCCCTGAGCCCATCTTTAGCATGGTCTCTGGTTCCCTCTAGCGACCAGTTCTGGTAAAAACACTGTAGAAATGAAGAATAAATATGTTATTTCTGGGGGTTTTTAATTTAATATTTCCAGGCAGTGGATAAGTGAATCTGTGGATACTGATCCCACGGATAGAAGCATCCCACTGTAATTGCATTGTGGTAATATTACCTGCATCTCTGCAGTACTGTGGCCAGATAGTTGAACAAAAGTTTGAGATCAGTGTTTACCACGTTTTCCTGGGGGAAGAGCCTTCCTTCCTCTTGCATGGGCCAGAATGATCCCTGAGCCCATCTTTCCCGTTCAGCTTGCAGAAGATCATCCACCGCAACGACGGGACGGAGACCGTGTGCACCGAGCGGGACGGCTGGTGTCTCCCCAAGACCAGCGACGACCTCCGGGACACCATGTCCCTGATGATTAAGCAGATCATCCGCTCCAAAAGGCCGGGTGAGGAAAATGGTTCTTCTGAGCCAGGAGGGAGAGTGCGCGGGGCCTGCCAGAGGTGGCTGGGCTGCAACTCCTACAAGGATAAGTGAATCTGTGGATACTGATCCCACGGATAGAAGCATCCCACTGTAATTGCATTGTGGTAATATTACCTGCATCTCTGCAGTACTGTGGCCAGATAGTTGAACAAAAGTTTGAGATCAGTGTTTACCACGTTTTCCTGGGGGAAGATCCTTCCTTCCTCTTGTGTGGGCCAGAAAGATCCTTGAGCCCGTCTTCTCTCCCGTTCAGCTTGCAGAAGATCATCCACCGCAACGACGGGACGGAGACCGTGTGCACCGAGCGGGACGGCTGGTGGCTCCCCAAGACCCGACCCGACCTCCGGGACACCATGTCCCTGATGATTAAGCAGATCATCCGCTCCAAAAGGCCGGGTGAGGAAAATGGCCCTCCCGAGCCAGGAGGGGGAGTGTGCAGGGCCCGCCTGGCTGGGCTGGTGTCTCCCCAAGACCAGCGACGACCTCCGGGACACCATGTCCCTGATGATTAAGCAGATCATCCGCTCCAAAAGGCCGGGTGAGGAAAATGGCCCTCCCGAGCCAGGAGGGGGAGTGTGCAGGGCCCGCCGGAGGTGGCTGGGCTGCGACTCCTACACTCCTCTGCGCATGCTCGTGGGAACTGTAGTCCTGCAAGATCGAGAGAAAGCCATACCATCCCCAGCCTGACTCTCAAAAGGCAAAAGCAGGGGGCCTGGGAGCAGAGAAGCCGGGTCCCTTATGGACATTCGTCTCACTAGTGGAGGAGGAATGTATGGGACTGTGCAGGGCGCAGCACCCAGCATCACGAGCCTCTTCACTTTTACGTTCTAAAGTGTCCTGTTTACATTGAGTCCTTTGGCCCCACAACCTGGAGGCCTGTTAGCAAAGCAAAGCGACGCTTGCTGCTTATGGACCTCCCCACAGCACTGACCGCACTCTCTGTGCGATTTATAATTTGATTACACAGACGACACGTGGGAAATTAGGCAACGAGGTCAAGCAGCGTTTTGCTCTCCCCGTGTCTTAATTCCCGTTTCTTTGCTTGTCTCAGCTCTGTTCACCAGTGCTTCGAGGGCAGAAGAAGGCAAGGAGCCGCTGGAAGAACCGTTTGAATCTGGAGAGGAGGAGGAGGAGGAGGAGGAGGAAGAGGAGGAATTTAAGCCTTCTGACGGGAGCGAGAACGAAATGGAAACAGAGATTCTGGACTACGTGTGACGGTTAACACGACCGTGCGTTGTTGTTTTCTTAATGGTGTGCGAGAAAAACAAGGGAAGCTGACAGGGTCTTCAGCCCTGATTTCCAGGCTTATGGATCCCTTTCTCGAGTTCTTACGACTCCGTTGTGTGGCTTCAGGATGCTGACTTTGGTTACTGTGGTGTTTGTGGTACCTTGTGTGTAGCAAAAAGAAAAAGGATTTAATTGATTGTATCTTGACACGTCTCACATTTGGTTCTTTTTGGAAGGGGATTGCGGTCCTCCTCAGCCGTGTTCAACTTTCCATGAGCCTGAATCCTTGGGAGATCCTGCCCTTGTAGTTTTAGGGCTATGCATACACAGGTATGAGGACATAACATGGACTCTTATAGACATTCCCTACGTGGGAAACCATGAGCTCCCTCCTCCTTATAATAGAACAGATCTGTTGTAAACAAAGGCAAAGACTTGTATTCCGAAAATGTGTTGGGTAACATTTGATGAGAAGCTTCTGATTAAACGAGTGTCAAAAAGATGCTCCTGCCTCCATCATGATAGTAAAAATAGAAGAACCACCAAATAGTTAACTAGCAGCTGTCCTCTCATGATGGCCAAACCTGTCGTTTCCTCTTGCTGCCTATTTAACGCCCTTGCAAAGCTTATCCAAGTGGCTTTGGGCCATGCTGGGCACCTTCTGAAAAATGTAATGTCACTCCTTGATGATGAATTAATTGCTGCGAATCTTCCTGCTTACGTTTTTGCTCGTTTTCTAGCGGAGGCGTCTGCTTCTAAACTCACAGCAGCGGTTGTGTGTGTGTGTGTGTGTGACAGCGCCAGCTGTTGGGTAGATTGGAGCCCGCGTGCGTCAAGGTAAGCTTCTCCCCTTCCTGCTTTTTATCAGGGAACTGTCACTCCTTGATGATGAATTGCTGCCAATCTTCCCGCTTACGTGTTTGCTCGTTTTCTAGAGGAGGCGTCTGCTTCTAAACTCACAGCAGCGGTTGTGTGTGTGTGTGTGTGTGTGTGTGTGTGTGTGTGACAGCACCAGATGTTAGGTAGATTGGAGCCCGCGTGCGTCAAGGTAAGCTTCTCCACTTCCTGCTTTTTATCAGGGAACATCCCGCCCAGAAGCTGAGCGGGAGCCGTAGAGGCAAAGGCTACGATGATTTGCCTGCTCAAGGGGAGGAGGGAAACTTGGGCTGAGTCCGGCCTATAAAGATCCCCGGCTGGGTCGAGGCAGCCACATTCCGGACAGCACCATGAGCCGCTCAGACATGCTCTGCCTAGCTGTCCTGTTATGCCTGGGGGTGGCGCAGGGGGCAAAGGTAACCGGGATTTAACCTATGGCCGGTTGAACACCTTGGCCTAACGGGCAATAGGGTTTCAAAGAGATGAGTAGACCCATTGTCAGTGGGTGGGCCGGGTAAAGAGTTCTCCTTCGTTGAGGTCAAGGGACTCGGTCCGTGGAAAGGAAAACCGAGGGGTGGTCCTCGCCGTTCCACGTTGGCCCAGTCGCTTGAGAAGACTTCCAGAAGGAGCCCCTGATGCATTGGGTTCGCTCAGGAGCGCTCTGGGAAGATTAGTCAACATTTTGTCTGGGCCACCCTCCTTGGGATCCCAGCAAAAACGGGAAGCTCGGAGGCCAGCGGTAGACAAAACGCCACGCTTTTGGGCGTCTTGTGTTCTGGCCAAGAATCCTTTCACCCGGGACAGTGGCCGTCGAAAAGGACAGCGGGGTCTTTCCCGGTTTGTCCGAAAATCCTGGGAGTCGTGCCCATTGGGTTTGGCGCTGCGGCAGCCCGCCCTTCCTAAATCTTCCGAGCAGTTCAGATGGTTAGAGAAAACCAGTTTCCAGGTGGTCCGACTGTATCTCAGGGCAGAGAGGAGGCGATGTGGCGCACGGTTTTTAATTGTTCCCACTTTCACCTTTACTTTTTATTTTGACATTAGAAATATTAAACAAATGAGAGATTCCAGAAATTTTCTGGGGGTTTGACATTAGAAATATTAAACAGACAAATGAGAGATTCCAGAATTTTTTGGGGGGTAGGGGGAATTGAGAATAAAAGGAGAAGAATATAAATTGCAAGCTTATGCTGATGACTTGGTACTGTTAGAAAACCCAGAAGAATCGATTAGAGAATTAATATCCACAACTGAAAACTTTAGGGGCAGTATCAGGACTTTAATGGTTCCCATTAGGGCTTCTCTGGGACAGAGGTTTAAGAGGTCAAGCCTAGGGCTTTCACATCTGCCCAGATGTTTTTGCACAGGTAAAAGACTCGCCTCGCGGGTGAGACGGAGGACTGGTTTGATCAGCACGTTTTAACGGCGGCTTTGAAGCCCTTTGCGTCTCGCCTTTCCAAAGCTCTTCCAAGCCCTGTTTTGTTTCAATATGGTCGCTGTTGCTTTTTTTAAAAAGCATGGTTGTGTCACCACGGTGGTGCAAGCAGGATCCACACGTCCTTTCCCAAGAAACGTGACGGGCTTTGTGTTCTCGTACCGCTTTAGCTGGGCATCGTGAGTACCGAAGGCGGCTTGGTGGAAGGCGTGAACAAGAAGCTGGGCCTGTTTGGAGACTACGTGGACATTTTTAAAGGCATCCCTTTTGCAGCCCCTCCAAAAACCCTGGAAGATCCCCAGCCTCACCCCGGCTGGCCAGGTAAAACGCTTCCTTCCTAGCGGAGCCGTTAAAAGGCTTAAATGCATTTCGAACCATTCAAGCAGTCCAGGCCTCTGAATAGATGCATTAAGGTTTTTAACGTTTAACACTAATCCGTTTTGAATTTGATTCTTTGATTCACTTCATTTACTGTGGTTGATTGCTTGATCTTTTGTTTTATTGCTTATTTTACTTTATGATGCCATATCAGTAGGTTACGTTCGTGTTCTGTGATTAATTGTGCTTTGTGCTTTGTTGTGTGCCACTTTGTGCGGCCCCAGACCTTATTTTACTTTATGATGCCATATCAGTACGTTCCGTTCATGTTCTGTGATTAATTGTGCTTTGTTGTGCACTACTTTATGTGGCCCCAGATCGTATAGAAGTGTAGATAGCTAGATAAATAGGTAGGTAGAAACGTAGACAGACAGACAGACAGATAGATAAGAAAGAAGGAAGGAAGGAAAATAAGAGCTTTTTAGATAGATTTCACTTTATCACTTTAAATGTACAATTATAAGCTTGTAGTTAATAGATAGATAGACAGACAGGCAGCCCTTCAGGTGCCCAGGGCCTCCCCGCCACCTCGTATTATTAGTGGAGCGACTTGGTGGTTTTAAGAATAGTGACCGTAACTTTGTGGCAAAAGACCTCATTCGGACAGAGAAGGTCTGAAGATTAATCCCCAGTCAAACTGAAAGCTGCACGTATCTCAACCCACAAAAATTAAAATATAGGTAAAGTTAAAAGAACAATATTTTTTAAAAAAGGAGGAAGGGGTGGGGAAAGAGCTATCAATTTGGCGAGCCAGGTTTGAAACATCGTGCCGATGTGTTGCTTATCGTTTGCTTGTGAAAGACAATCTGTCTGTCCCCCCCCGAGGGTGAGGATCAGGGGTGGGAGCGCTCCAGCCGACGAGCCGATAACCCCCTTGTCCCAACCCCTGTTTCTTTTCAGGTACCCTGCAGGCCAAAGAGTATAAGCCGCGCTGTGTGCAGAGCACCCTGACAGAAACAGATGTCCGTGGCAGTGAGGATTGTCTGTATCTGAACATCTGGGTCCCCCAGGGGAAGAAAGAAGGTAAGGTTCCCAAGCAGGGCTTGGGAGGTCCGTTCAGCCGCTGGTTTGTGCCTTCTGTGACATCGTCAGAAGTTGAGTCACTGTTTGAACCGCCTGCCTCAGGGACTCAAGCAGTGGGTGCGGACGTTCGAGTGCGGTTGTCCAGTTCCTGCACACAAGGCTGTAGTTTCTCATTGAATTCTGCATGGATTAAGAGAGGGTTCTGATGGCTTCCATCTTCCTGGTTTTCTGTCCGTCTCATTCTCGCGTTGCTTCTCTCTAACGCCCTCCTCTCCAGTCTCTACCAACCTGCCGGTGATGGTCTGGATTTTTGGGGGAGGCTTCATTTTCGGCGGCGGCCAGGGCCCCAACTTCCTGAAGAACTACCTCTACGACGGCGAGGAGATCGCGACCCGTGGAAAAGTCATTGTGGTGACCTTCAACTATCGTCTGGGCCCCCTGGGTTTCCTGAGCACGGGAGACGCCAGCCTGCCAGGTAAACATGCACACTTTAGCTCGTGGCTGTACCCTAATTGGCAACAGATATATGAGACACCATAAAAATAGCTCAGTGGGTTAGATTTCGGGTTGAGAGGTTGGGAGGTCGATTCCCACCCCTTGAGCCTCCGGGGGAATGCCAGCCTGGATGGCCTTGGGTGAGCTGCACCGTGGGGGATTCTCCACCTGGAAAACTTATCAAGGTTGTCAAATGTCAAAAGAATTAAGTTAGAGATGCTTGATGAATTAAACGCAAGATCCGCAGAAATTCCTTCTTGGGTTGATAGGGTAAGACTTTCCTGCTCTGAAATACATCTTCCTGATGCGATTTCTCTCCCTTTTTTCTCTCCAAGGTAATTACGGCCTTAAAGACCAGCACATGGCCATTGCGTGGGTGAAAAAGAACATCAGAAATTTTGGAGGAGATCCCGATAACATCACAATCTTCGGCGAGTCTGCGGGCGGTACCAGCGTCTCCCTGCAGGTGGGCGGCCAATGCATTTTTATCCCAGGCTTTTCCTTGTCGAGAGCCGAATGGGCCAAAAAAAGGAGCATTTTTTTTTGTTTTTAAGAAAAAAGACAGGTGTGCATGCCAACACAAAAAGTCCCCCCCAGCTCCCCCCAAATAATTTTCATACTAAAATAAACTTCCTTTGTTTCCCTTGTAAATATCGGCAGTGAATATTTCTAACAAGCCATCCTTGCTCGGATTATCTAACCAAGGAGTGGTGTGGTTTGAAAGAACTCTTACCATTTTCTCCCCAAAGAGATTGAACGTTTTGAATTTTTTTTCCCTTTTCCCGCCGCGTAGATGCTGTCGCCGTACAACAAAGGCTTGATCAAACGAGCCATCAGCCAAAGTGGGGTTGGTCTCTGCTCTTGGGCCATTCAGAAGGATCCTCTCGTCTGGGCCACCAAGGTAAAAGAAGAAGCAAAACACAGCAGCAGTCCTGTGTCGCATTGTTCTTCGATATTCAGCCTGATTTGAGATGTTCAGGACGCAATAAAGAGAGGAGGGATCAGTGGACATGGAAAAGCACCAAGATTTATAGAAATTACAAAAAAGAAAAACAAACCAAACCAAAACCCAACAACCTTAAAATAGGGAAAGAACCCCCACCCTAAAAAAAACCATAGCAAGGAAATATATTAATCTCGTACCAATTTTGCTCCCATGCAATCCAAATTCTGAACTAGAAAAGCAGAATTCTGCAATTGTGTGTATTAAACAATTTTAAGGGGTCCCCCCCCATAATACATGTTGGTTGTGCGAATGGTGAACGGAACGAGGGTACTGTGCCCCCACCCTGCAGATTCGAATGGGGCTTAAAGGACCCTTCTCTGTCTTTGTTGTTTTTCTGTTAAAGGCACTGGATTTTAAGTGGCTGCTGGTGACTTTTTTGCCCCCCTCCAAAATGAAGCCCTCCTTTTAAATTGTTTTATCATGGAGTTTGATGCTGTTGCCCAAAAGTTTGCAGATTTCACGCTTTCGGTCTGTTTTCACGACCCGTGTGGCCGATGCATATCGGGGAAAGTGCTTGCTGTGAAAGGTGACGTTGACGATCCCGAAACAAATAAATAAATTCAACTTGTGTCTTACAGGTAGCAAAGGAAGTGGGCTGCCCCGTTGACAACACCACTGTCATGGCCAGCTGCTTGCGTGTCAGTGACCCCAAAGCGCTCACCCTTGCCTACAAGCTGAACCTCTTCAGCCTGAAATGTAAGCCAGATGCCAAGCTGGAAGCCAGTTTGGGCGGGGGTGTGTGTGTGTTTCTCAGAGCGATAGTTTTCAAGCCCTGTGGAGTACGCCTCGTGTTTTTTGATCCTCCCCCAGATGCCAAGCTGGAAGCCAGTTTGGGCGTGGGGGTGTTGTTTCTCAGAGCGATCGTTTTCCAGCCCTTTGGAGTACGCCTCGTTTGTTTTTTGATCCTCCCCAAGTGCAGGACGCGTCAGAATGGGCTCAAGCGATAGGCAGCCCCATTTCAGTGGAATATCAGGAAAAACTTCCTAACTGTTAGAGCAGTACGACTATGGAACCCATGACCTCGGGAGGGGGCGAGTGTTAACTTCCTAATTGTTAGAGCAGTACGACGATAGAACCCATGACCTCACGGAGAGGTGGCAAGCGCTCTCAATGCTGGAGGCCTTCCAGAGAAAATTGGGGCAGGGGGAGAAGGGGTGGAAATCTGGAAGTCTGAAACATCACCTTTTCCCTACTTCTCAAGGGTTTCCTCCTTTGTTGCACAGCAGGACTGAAATCTGGAAGTCTGAAACATCACCTTTTTCCCACTTCTCAAGAGTCTCCTTTATTGCACAGCAGGACTCCCTTATCTGCAGAATCAGTATCCAATGATTGACTTACCCACTGTATATATATCATGACCTTATCTGCGGGATCAATATCTGCTGATTGACTTACCCACCGTATATATATCATGGGAACTAGGAACTTGTAGTTCAGTCAGTTTACTGAATGTCATTTGCAGCTTCCCTTCTTCCTCTTCCCCAAATGACTTTTCCTCCCTTTTGCTCCAGATCCGATTGTCTATTACCTCACCATCGCTCCCGTTGTGGATGGCGATTTCCTTCCGGACATGCCTCAGAACCTGTTCGCGAACGCTGCCGACGTGGACTACATCGCTGGGGTGAACAACATGGACGGGCATTTCTTTGCTTCCATTGACATGCCCGCGCTCAACCGCCCGCTCGTGAAGATCACAACGTAAGGAAGATATAACAGACGGCTGGGTGGGGAGCGAATATCGCGTCATTGGGCCGGCGCGGTCATCGCGGCGTGCCCTCAAGTCGAAAAACGTTCTTGGGTGGCTGCTTTCCCAGGTCATCGGAGGGGTAGGGAAGTGCCCCCGGGCGGTGTTGCCAGAACCGACCCTAACCCCAATCCCAATTCCTAGGTGTGTGAAACCTTTTTTTTTGGGGGGGGGAGCCAAGGGCTTCATCACAAGCAGGGACCCTCAAGCCAGAGGCCCCGGATGCTGTGCTCGGGACCATAATCCCGGTTGCTACGCATTGCCCGATGGAGTGGGATCGTTCCTCGGAAGAGAGAGAGAAAGAGAGGACTACCTTCCAGCTTCATTGTGTTGCTGTGTTTGTAGCACAATCTCTCCACCTAATCTGTTCCTCGGGAAGCCGCAGGGTTTGTCAGGGTGTGTGTGTGTGTCTCGATGTGACCCACCTGGAAGCGGAGAAAGGGCAGGGCATGTAAAAATATTGATCAGCACGCTATTTGGATTTAAAACCCCAGCGCCATGGAGAGGGACCGCCTGATCTGCTTCTTCTTTCCCTTGTAGGGAAGAGGTGTATAATCTCGTCAGGGGCCTGACGTTAGAGAAAGGATTGACGGGCGCGAGCCAGGTCTTCTCCCTCTACACCCAGCTGTGGACGGACACGGTGACGCAGGAGGTCATGAAGAGAACCGTCATTGATCTGGAGACCGACTACATCTTCCTGGTCCCCACCCAGCAGGCGCTGGCCCTGCATCACCAGAATGCCAAGTGAGTACCTAGGGGACCAATGTCTGAAGACCCCCATTATCTGCGGGATCGGTATCTGCGGAGACACTTCCCCACGCTCTGAAAAGGCTCAAAGAAAAATCTCCACCCCCAAAATATAATTTTTAGCCACAGAGTGACCAGGACTGGCCACGAGAGGGAGCCAGAGACCACGCTGTGTATGCCGACCAATTCCTTGAACTCCCCACTTCCTGAATCCCATCTGCGCCGTCTCGTTTTTCATTTCGGACCCCCTTCTGTTTGAGACGTGCCTGTTGCTCACCCCTCCCTGCCCCTCTTTCCCCCCTCCCTCCAGGACCGCCAAGACCTACAGCTACCTGTTCTCCGTGCCGTCTCGACTGATGCTGTATCCCAGCTGGGTCGGGGCCGACCACGCTGACGACATCCAGTACGTCTTCGGGAAACCCTTTGCCACGCCGTTGGGTTACCGGCCTCAGGACCGAACCGTTTCCGAGGCCATGATTGCTTACTGGACGAACTTCGCCCGGTCCGGGTAAGAGAGCGACAGAACTCTTATCATCATGCATGATGCTTTCTCCTATCACTTCCTGCGTACAGGCCGAAGCAAAAGGCTTGGTTCTTTTGAGATAGGAAGGCATGAACGACAGGGGCTGGCCTTTAGCTCCCGGTGTGTCTTGTCCTACAACCCTAGCCCCACCCACGTGGGGTAGCCCGCTGTGGTCCCTTCAGACCACGTGGCCTGTGGCTTGGGGTGTCACTGAATAGCATCTTCCTTCCCCTTTGGAGCCCCCGAACATGTTCCCCCTTTTTTTCATGCTGGCCAAGCGACAGCTGCAGGCTTCCCGAAGGACAAGAGGGCACACGGGGTGAAAAGCCACCAACCACCTTGCGTGGCCCCTGGATTGACTTCAGAGGCATCTCCTTTTAAGCGGAGGTAGTCACCCCCACGTGGTGGTAGGAGATGCTTGAGAGGATGACCTCCGGCGTTAGGGATCAAGTTCCACAGGCCGAGTTTGGCAGTGCTAAGACTCGCTCCAAGGAATGAGTCCGGGGGTTTCAACTTTCAGAGGCTGTCTTGACTTAACAAAGGGGTTTCTGTCCCGTAAAGCTGAGATGAGCAGATTTGAGGGGAGCCCAACAAAGGGGGGGGGAACACCCGCAGGTCTGCCCTGTTCATCTTGTCAGACAATTGAATTTTCCGAGTGCTCCTTCTGGACCACTTGAGGACTTACCGACCACCCTGACCTTGCCACCACTTCCTCCCACCTCTCGGGGCGAGGCAAAGGCGTACATTTCCAAAGGCCCGCTGTCGTCGCCCACGTACGCCCCCACCATGTTCTAGACCTCAGTCGGTCACTCGCCCTGAACATCTGGTTCGGGTGGGTTTGAAATGGAGGACTCCTCAAAGGGTTACATTCCTCTGTCACTGCAGGAGAGTTAAAATGAGCGATCCGGGGTGTAAAAGGGAGACGAGAGACGCCGGGAAGGGTGGAGAAAGACTTTGGAATCGATCCAGATTATGTGTCTTTCTCTGGCTGTTCCCAGGAATCCGCCCTGAGGCCTCTTTTCACCCACCCAGAGAAGGATCGGGTTTCCTTCTCTCTCAGGACTTGTCTTTTAACCCTTCTAGCCGTTTTCCGGGCTTCTCCCTTCCCGATTGGCGCTGGAGGCGTCTTCAGCTCTCAAAACAGGAACTGATCTTAACTCTCTCTCCGTTTCCAGGGATCCGAACAAGGGGGAGCTGAAGGTGCCCATCAACTGGCTCCCTTACGACACCGTGCGCGGCTACTACCTGGAGATTAACAAGGACCTGAACAACAATTCGGTGAAGCAAAGCCTTCGCGCTCAGTATGTGCATTTCTGGCTCAGCGCTTACCGCAGCCTTCCGGACGCCCCCGTCACCCTGGACCTGGAGTAGAACCAGCCTGGAAGCAGACATCCCCCACACGGGTCTACTTGTACGAAATCCGAAAGGCAGGCTCTGAATAAATTGGTCTCTTTTCTCGTGCACCTCTCGGGTGGCGGTGGTGGGTCGTCCCTCCTCCTTCCCACGTTCCTTACGCCAAATGTTCGGGTGGCTGCTCTCGGCGGGCCTCCCCTTTGCTCGGTGGTTCTTGCGCATGTAAAGGAGCAGCTTCCTTCATAGGTCGGACGGTACGCATAATGTATGGCATAAAATGCTATGTCTTTCTCTCCCCCCCCCAGGCCTCCCAGAGGCAATCCTTTGGCCCCCCCAGTTACACACAGACGTAAATTCTCAAAACATTGTTATTTTAATGAAAAGGCTAATTACATTGCTGTATACACATCACACCGAATAGTGTGCTACTTCATGGCAAGTTGGTACAAAATATACCTTATCTCTAGAGTCCCCCCTACACGAATCGCTCGCTTACGCGCACGAGGGTGCTGTGGAGTCTGGGAGCGATCCACCCACCCACCCCAAAGGAGGAAGGAAGGAAAAGAGCAAGTGTCGAAAGACAGGTGGGGAACCTCCCTTCTTCCACATGTAGGTTCTACCTCCCCCAATAAACTTGAGAAAGCCTAGCCAGTGGTTCAGGAGTTATGGGAACTGTAGTCCCACTGGAGGGGCCCAAGTTCCCCGCCCCTGCTTTACGAGGTATGTGTGTAAATAGGCCAGCCGGCTTCCTCCGACCCGGGTCAACCACCCATCGGGAGGGGCACCAAGGTTGTGGGCAGGGCTGACGTAAGCACAGGGTTTTTTTGGGGGGGCTTTTGTGGTCCGTACAGGTGCCGGCACTTGGTGCCTCCCCGGCCGATTCTCAGAGAGGCGCCTGGCAGGTCCCCCAGCAGCACTAAAGGCGCAGGCGTTCCGCCCCCACCGAATGGACGACGGGAACGAAAAAGCCTCTCTGGGCCTGGCGATGCGAGAGAGGACGACCCGAACGGCAGTCCTCCCAAGAAGGGACCACGTGGCGTGGGTTTGGGTGGGCAGTAGAGTAGAGAAAGGGCTGGGATGGAAAGCGAGAGTGGGCAATCAAGCCACGGAAAGGGCCTCCTCCCCTCCACGTCTGCCTTCGAGGAGACCGTGTCTCCCGTCATAGGCAGAGCGGAGGCCCGTTCGTTCACAAATGGCCTTTGGCAGACCCGCGGCCAGTGGGTTGGGGGAAACGTCTAAAGCGGACTCCACAGCACCCCTGCCTGCAAAGGGGGGCTCTCGGGGGGGGGGAGAAGGGCACCCGGCGAGTAGCCGTTCTCCCTTCCGGGGGTTCCTGAGCGACAAAAGGATAAGACGAGGAGGAGACTCCTCTCGGCTAGACCACCCTCATCGACCTTGTAGAAAAGCAGCCCCCGCCTATCTAGGGTGGATGATGAAGCGTACCCCCCCCCCGAAGAATCTTCCCACCTTCCTTAGTGTTTCGGTTTAGTGGTTTAAAGGCTAATTAGTCTTCCCTCACCGTTAATTGTTTTAGTGTTGGCAGAAACAGGAGCCCTCGCTCCCCTCCCCACTTTTTAACTTGAAGCAAAACCAGCACATTTTCAAGATCCTGCCCTTTTCCAGTCTCTCTTTCACACACACGCACGTACACACACCCACACACACAGCAGGCTTCTCACCTTTCAAAACATAAAAGTGATCTCATTAATGGACTTTTTAAACAGTGTTAGTAAAATGTACAAATCCAACAGACCTATTTACAGACAATAAATATCGGGGGGACGGGAGAGGAGATATTAGTAAATTCAGTTTGGTGGGGTACGGTTTTTTCTTTACAAAAACAAAAGGGAAAAAAATCTGATCACATCAGTCCACAAAACTCTCATTTCACGACCAAAACTCCCAGTCCGTGGAAACACTAAAGTGGCACAAAAAACAAGTCGGGGGGGGGAATGAGTGGCGTGTTTCAACTCTTCAGAGGCATCCCGATTCCCCCCCCCCAACTTCCCTCGCTTCCAACCGAGGTCTTTTATTTACAGTGAGTTTGTATCATAACTGGCTTCTTTTTGTTCCCATCGGTCAGCAGAAAGGGGCCGACGCGCAAGAAGCCTCCCCGTTTGATCTTTGGTGTAGGCTCGTCAAAAAAGAGAGAGAAAAAGCAGGAGACGTGGGTGGGTCGAGGAGGCCGGACCTCTCGAGACCGGGGGCGCGCGCTCCAACCGACCGTGTCTCCTCACTGAGCCTGGGAGCAGGCGACGGAGCCAAAGGCGGGCACAGCGCGAGACTTCCAGTTGGCATCTCTTGGGTGGCAGGGAGCCTTTCCGCCCTGTGCTTCAAGAGTCAGATGCCCGGCCGTTGAGCCGGAGACTTCCAGTTGGCATCTCTTGGGTGGCCGGGAGGCTCCAAGAGTCAGATGCCCGGCAGTTGAGCCCGTTGGCTTGTTGACCGGGAGATCCCGGGAGGGGCAAATCCGGTCGCAAGGCAGTGCGAGACGGTCGGTCCCGTCCGTCCGTCGTCCTCCTCCTCCTTCCCGCTATCCTCGTCTGCCTCCCCGGCGTGTGCGCTGGCGGAGCGGAAGAAACCCGTTCCTTAATAGCACGGCCCTTGTTAGCGCCGGGAGGAAGGGAGGACTCCTAAGGCAGAGAGGTGGGTGATGGCCGCAGGCCCTTGCACCTTGGTTTAAAAAGTTTAAAAATCCACTGTGTAGAAAAACGAGAGAGAGACGCAGACCTGATGAAAGGCAAGGAGCAGCTGCCGTGGGCAGAGAGAGAGAGAGAGAGACTGGTGGGCCAAAGTGTCACAAAGACGCCCCTTCCCACTGCCGGGGTCCCAGACGCTTCCTCTTCTTGGCGAGCCGCACAACGGTCGAGATAGGCAGGCCCCCTCTCCTCCCGTGGGCGCTGCTTAAGACAGGCGGGCGGCCGACTCCGCACGGGCCGAAAACCGAGGTTAGAAGATGCCCTTGGCGATCTTGAGCCCCTTCTGCTTCATCCGGGGCAACGTGGAACTGGAGCCGTGCTTGATCTTGACCGCCTTGACGAAGCCTCGCTTCTTGAGCACAAAGTCGTAGTTGGCCGCCGAGTTCATGGCGTAGAAGACGTTGGCGTTGTCGGGGATTTTGAGCTCTAGAGGGGGAGAAAGCGAGAGGGTTGAGTTCCTAGAGTGGGAAGGTTTCAAGACACGCGCGAGGTCAGCGGCTCAAGTCTTCTGCATGTTACGGACTTAAAGGTCTCCGGCCTGAGAGATCGGCCGGTTCCCTCCCATCCTGGCAGTTAATAGGGGAGGATGGAGATCAGCATCCATGTATTTACTTATCCACAGCCTGAAAGCAGTAAAAATATTAAAAATCCCAACCTATAAAAACATGTTCAGCGATAAAAGTTATCAGAACGGGCCACCAGACAGAGCCCAGAGACCTTGCCGTGGTCTATATAGCGTCGGCTATTGAAATAGCGTCCTGCATTTTCCAGCATTCGCACCGATCCCCTGCAGATAATGGGGGATCCTCCTGGATTCTCTACCTAGAAGGATTCTGGGAAAGGTCACTAGTAGGGGAAAGGCAGACAAATATCTAATATAAAAGAAAGGGGGGGGGAAGAGAAGCACCGTCAGCAGCAGAAAGGCACAGAAAAAAAAGAAGCAAAGCAGAAAAGGATTCGTTTGGAAAAGAGAAACCAGGAACTCGGAACACGATAGACCCAAGGGGCGAACAGGCAAGGAGAAAGATGGGAGGAGCCTCAGAGAGAAAGGGGTGGGGTTTCAAGTGGCCACCCGCGTTTGGGGCCCCAGCGAGCTTTCGTACCTCTCTCTTCCGAGATGATCTGAATGAGCTCATAGTCCTCGGGCCGGTCTGTATCCAGATTGTGTTTCGCCATCGCCTTCCGGATCACAACCGGGGTCTTGTCTTGGCTTGTTACCTGGAACATTGATGTCGCATGAATGACCTCCCCGTTCAAGGCATGTATTTCGGCTTCAGCGCAAAAAAAGCTCGCTTGGTTTAACGGCTGGGTTGAACGTTAACCAAAGAATACTCAAAAAACATTGAACAGCCATAAATGTGGTAGCCCTCTGGGCATGTACAGAGTGCCTTTGCCTCTAAGCAAGCCCCCCCTTTGGGAAATCAGCTTCTTGAACCAAAGACTGGGATGTAAACCTTCTGTCCTGTGTCCCCGAATGTTTAATCACTCGCAAAATTAGCAGCGGCTGAATTTAACGGGAATTGAGGAATGCTCGTGGAAATATCCATTAGGATACACCACGAGCAGCCAGCCAGGAGACATGCCGTGACTTCAGAGGCTGCAAGAGGCAAGCCTGTCAGGGATTTGCAGTGTGGGTTGATCGCCTCCCTTCTTGCTCTCCCCGATTGAGCCAAAGAGGGAAACGCCACAGATGGCTGGCAGGCCATGAATTTATAAAAGAATCTCGCTTGCAGCGTACAGGCCTGGAAGAACAGATTGGTTGCTATAACAACTGCCAGTAGTGCTGGTCTTGACAAAAAGAGGAGCGCAGGAGGGAGGGGGGGAGGGAGGGCAGGCCTGCGTCTCTGCCCGCAAATTCCAGGGGATTCCCAACAGCAGGGAGGTCCTCGCTGAAGGCAAGAGGTAGGGTTTGTTTCTCCCCTCACCATAAACAAGGCAGTTTCCACCTTGGCTAACAACGGGGTTTGGATGTGTTTTTTGCACTTCTGACGGCCTTCCTCTGAGGTCCATCTTGTGGCAATGCGTGAAAGGCCCTTTTCTGTGCCGGCAACCCCCCCCTTGAGGGGCGCCTCCTGTCCCAGGACTTTAAATTTTCTCCCTTCCCACTGTTCACAGAATGGACGTCTTCTGTGATCCTTGGTTTAAACCTGCCGGCCCCCCCCCCCCCTTGAGGGGCGCCTCCGGTCCCAGGACTTTAAATTCTCTCCCTCCCACTGTTCACAGAATGGATGTCTTCTGTGATCCTTGGTTTAAACTAGAGGGTTCCCAAACTTAGGTCCCCCAGATATTCCTGGGCATAAATCAAATAAATAAATAAATAGGTTCAAATTAGAACCTTCCCCAACTTGGGGTCCACCGGACCTTTCGGATTACGACTCCCATCAGCCTCAGCTAGCACGCAGATCATGGGAAGGGAAGTCCCCCCCCCCAAAAAAAATCTGTGGAGGGCAGGGGACAGACTACACTTGAGGTGCAGTGGTTCGGGGAGAGGGTTGATGGATCTGGGCAACCCTTCCTGGAGGGCTCCCGACTAACATGGCCACCGGTGGGATGATGCTGGGAGAGAGGGGCCTGTCTAAAACGTCCTTCTGCCTAATGCCACCCGGGAGGCGGTTGTCCGCAATGCCAGGGGGCTGCCTCCCCCAAGGCCCCTCTTCTTCTGCCTCCCCACCTCCCCGGGGCCAGTGGGACTCTCACCCACCAGGATGCTCTTGTACATGTTTCCATTATCCACGGCCAGGCTGACGCGGATGATGCAGCAATCATCCACCTGCTGGTTGTAGAGGGGCAGCGAGAGGGAGGAGTAGCTGGAGAGGCCCGAGACGGAGCGCTTGTGGGTCCGGGAGGCCGTCACGGGCGTGGAGGAGACGGAAGAGGACGAGGCACTGCTGGAACTGGAGCCGATGCCCGACGTGTCCAAGGAGGAGAGCGAGGTGGACTCCCAGAACTGCGGGAGAGGGATGGAAAAGGGCGTCAGCACATCCGGTGGAGAAAGAGACCCGCACACAGCCTCTCCCTCCTTCCCTCTCTTTCTCTCTTTTTCGGCCTCCCCGTATCTTTACCTCTTTAAAAAGCTACCTTTCGGTCACCAAAGGTGGGACCTCCTTCACAGCCAGCGGTGGCACCGAGCCTCCGGAAATTGAGGAGGGGGAGATCACCGCGCCCCACTTGTACGAGGCTGGTTTTTCTGACATGTTCCAGAGATGTAAACTCTGCCTCATCTCTCCAACGTGGGAGCGCCAAAGAAGCTTGGCCGAGCCCGACTCCACGTCT